ACGAGACGGACCGGCTGCCCCGCTGTGTGCGTTCCACGGCGCGACTGGCCAGGGCCCTGTCCCCTGCCTTTGAACTGAGGCAGTGGGGCTCTACTGAATACTCCACATGGACTGAGAGCCGCTGGAAAGACATCCGGGCCCGCATATTTCTGGTAGCCAGCAGAGAGCTGGAGGTGAGCCGGGGGGGGCATGCCAGAGACCGCCCTGCCCTCTTTGTGTTGCCTCTTACCTCTTACCTGCTTCCGTCTCCCATTTGCCACAAAAACCTACTGCCGCTCTGTCCCCTGTCCACCGCACGCCCCATCGCGAAGTCTGTCTTCACCGACAGAGTGAGTGTGTGTTCACGCCGGAGGTGGGCTCCCGCCAGGAGGAGGGCCCCCCGGAGGAGCTCCTCACCCTGCAGCGTCCCCACAGCTCCCTCCCAGCTGGGATTTCCAGCTGCTGGCACTAGGGTGTGCACAGGCGCCACGGTTTATTGAGTCCCCATCACCGGTATGTCATAGTTGCCACCGGAGAGTTGCCACCAAAGTCATGGATCTTAACTTCAAGATGCTGAAAATCTAGGGGCTCCGGGGTGGCTCAGTAGGTTAAACGTCTGACTCTTGGTCTCAGCTCAGGTCACGATCCCACGATCCTGTGAGTTCGAGCCCCGTGTTGGGCTCTGGGCTGACAGCATGGAGCCTGCTTGGGATATTCTCTCTCTCTCTCTCTCTCTCTCTCTCAAGTAAATTTTTTTAAAAAAAGATACTTAAAATCTTAGTAATACAAAGTAGAGGAAGAACAGGGATACTCCTCTTTTCGAACGGAGCCACTCCGTCTTCCAGTCGGGAAGACATTGTCTGTGATTGCTCAGCACTCGGTGCCTGGAGCCAGCTCTGGGATCCCGAGGTCCCGGCTCCCAGCCCCAAGCGGTGATCCAGAACCACGCTGGGCTCTGACAACGTCTCTCTCCCTCCCTGCCCACGCCTCCCGCAGTTCATCACCCTGATGGTGGGCTTCGGCATCCTCGTCTTCTCTCTCGTCGTCACCTACTGCATCAACGCCAAGGCCGACGTCCTTTTCATCACCCCTCGGGAGCCAGGAGCCGTGTCTTACTGAGAGGAGCCCAACTCCCGCCCACTCTACCGTTCACATCCTAGGCCACTTGTCCCACGGGGACATAAGCCACTAGCGTGTCACTGGAACCTCTCTGGGCCTGCTTAGACTGGAATTAACATGAACAAGTAGAACTGCCCCGAAGAGAGAGAAACAAGTTCCCTCTCCTCTCCAGCCTCCCCTACCTGTCTGCCCTTCCTCACCCCTGCCAGATCCCGGGAGGGCAAATGGAAGCTTCTCGCTCCTGTTTGACTCCTAACTGCCCGCCCTAATTTACCCTTCTTCAGGGTCCCTCTTCCCTTCTCATCCTGCCCTAGACCGCCCCCTACTCCCCACCCCACCCCAGTCCCAACTTTCCCGACCAGGAAGGACACAAAGGCTGAATGCCAGGAACAAACCACAAGGAAGCCCCGAGGTGCAGGCCAGGCGATCTGTCTCCCTCCTGCTGTCCTGTCTCCAGACCCGTAGACGGCACCTCGGGGAGGGTGTGCTGCCAGGTCACCTCCAGCCCTCAGTGCTAGCTGTGATTTTATTAAGCTGTAATACCTATTTTTGTTGTTTTCTTTTTCCGTGTGTGCATGTGTGTGTGTGTGCGCGCGTGTGCGTGTGTAAATATATAAATAGCAAGTTTCATTAAAAGACTATCCCTCATGACCTGTATGTGTCATTCTTCCGTGCCCTCCTGCTCGGTGACCTCAGACTGGAAGTCATGGAATTGTTACCACGTGCTCCCTCCGGGTCTCCAGAGGCCCAAGGAGTGCGGCTCTGTCATAAACAGTGGAAGCCCTCAAAGCGGGGCTCCTTGGAACCTTGGAACCTTGGAACCCCGGTTTCCCCCTCGAAAGAACCGCGTTAGCATCGTTGACCCTCCCACTTTCCATTCGACAGACGTTTCTTTGTTCACTCTGAGACACTGGCTGGGCTGCAGAAATTTAGGGGATGCAGTCCCAACCCTGAGTGGCTGGCAGTTGGGGTGAGGGGAGAAACCGGTGCAATCCGGGGTGATCACGTGCGGCATCTCCCAGGTGCTCCGGTAACGCACAGAAGGACTCCGGGCACTGGGGGTGGCATCCGGGAAGGCTGCTCAGAGGAGGGGGCATCTGGGTTGCAGGCTGTGGAGTTCAGCTGTGGAAGCACAGGGCCTTGAAGGCACGGGCCACGTTTGGGAACGGTAAGTCGTTCGGGGTGCTGCAGGAGAGGGGGCTGGGGCTGGGTCACGGAGGGCCTGTGGCGGCCTGCCGAGCAGTTTGGGCCTTCTGTTGCTGGTGGGCATTTTGCAGACGGAAGCGAAGGTGGCTTTGGACTCTCCTACAAAGAGAACCTTGGCTCTGGGAATACCCTAGCGCCCTGGGTCTTCATGGAGCAAAGTTCCGGGGCGTAGCCGCACAGCTAAAGGAAGGCCGCAGCTGAGTCACTGGAAGGGAAGACCCCTCAGGAGTGGCGCTGGAGGCCAGCCCTCTCCCCTCCCCGCGGCCCTGCCGCCCATGAGACAGATGAGCCGGGAAGGACCAGCTCCGGGCCCCTTACCTTCCCGCGTCCCGCCACACCCCGCCGAGGAGGCGATATGCTCCAGGTTTCTCTCTGGGTTCCCTCAGGGGGCACGTCTGGGGGGCCGGGATGTGGAAATGAACCCTGCTCCCCTCCCCCCGCACCCCTCCCGGCCCGCACGCGGCGCTGGCGGGAGGCGGGCACAGCTGCCACCGTGCTGGGCCGACTCCGCGCCTCCCTCGGCCAACAGGGCCTCCCGGCGGACAGGGCAGCGAGCTCCCTCTCGTCCTGCTGGCAGCTTCGGGAAGCGGGGAAGTGGCCGGGTACCAGGCGCGGGGGTGGGGGGTGGGGGGGGGCGCCGGTGCAAGCCGTGGGGCCTTCCCTACTCCTACTCCGGTCTCCTCAACACCAGCTTGTCTTCCGCCTTCCATGCGACCCCTTCCTCGCGCCACCCCCCAAATTCAAAACCAACCAACTGGGCTCTTTCCACGGCCTGTGGGGAGGCCAGGCACTGTAGAAGGGGCACGGACCCCCGGCTGACCCCTTCAGGGGCCTCTGAGACCTCGGTGTGGCTAGTCCTCGGGGACCTGCTGTGCCCCAGAGACCCCCTGGGGCCGGCTGGCTGGCTGAGACCCCCTGAGCCACAGACTTTAGCTTCTCAGCCCGTCTCCCCACTCCTCCTCCCCAGTCTGGGTGGGCCTTGCTCTGAGATGTGTCACTTCCCACAAGGCTCCCCCCTCCCCACTACTACCTGGGCCCCGGGGACCCAGCCTGTCCCTACCTCTTGCGGCCCCTTGCGCCTCAGCACGGAAGGCTTTCCTGTCAGCCGGTGTTTCTCCTCCAGCCTCTCTGAGCAAAGGGTCTTCTGGGCCCCACATCTGGGTCGCTGCTCCCAAAGGCACATCCTGGGAGGAGACCTTTTCATCCAGAGTCTGGTGTTCTGTACCAAGGCCTCACCCTACTCAGCAGGACTCTGTCTCCACATGGAACCATATAAGACCTTAGAAATGATATGTAGGGTCTAACTCATCTGCTAGGGGAAACCGTAGCCCAGAGGAGTGAGTGGCTTGCCCAAGGTCACAGCAAATTAGCGCTGAGCTGAGACCAGAACATGTCTCGTATCCACGCTGGCTGCCACGGCAGCAATAAACGTTTATTGAGCGTGGCTGTGGGCAAGGCGCTCTGTCCTGGCATCAGAAAAGGTTATGATGAGATGCTGTGCCTTCCCTTAGGGACTTGGGATCCAGAGTCAAGATGGCAGGATGGGGCACGAGCAGGATAAATAAGCAGGCGGGGCCGCATATGCTCCACGCAAAGTCAGTGCAAGGAACAGGTTCTACCTGAGCCCAGAGGACACAAGGTTGGCTCTGGGCAGGGCCGGTTAGTGCGGAAAGAGCTCAGGATCAGGGATCGTCCCGTGTCACGAATGGCGTGTGTGGCTTTGGAAAGGGCATCCCGGCTCTGGGCCCTGGTGGCGTCCGTGTGATGTAGGGTCGGGCAGCGGGGGGTGGATTAAAAGGTGGATCAATTCTTGAACTTTGTTTGTTTGTTTACTTATTTATTTTGAGAGGGAGAAAAAGAGTGAGAGAACACGAGTGGGGGGGGGGGAGGAGCAGAGAGAGAATCCCAAGCGGGCTCCGTGCTGTCAGCAAGAGCTCGATGTGGGGCTTGAACTCATGACCCTCGAAATCATGACCCAAGCCGAACCCAACTGACTGAGCCCCCCCAGGAGTCCAATTCTTAAACTTTTTAAGGTAGTTTGAAAGTTTTCCTTCCAGAGAGGGAGGCCTGAGGGGCCCTTATTCCTGTAATTCAGCATCCCGTCCTGAGACAGAGCCCGGCAGGCCTCTCGGAAGTTGGGCCTGGGGAGCAGAGCCCCTTAAAGATCGGGGTCCAGATGGGCCTCAGGTCGGATTTTTATTCCTCCCTGAATCCACACGCAGAAGGGGCCCTCCCAGTCCTGCGGTGGAGACGGGCAGCCGTAGCCCAGTCCCCAAATAGGGAAAACATGGGGAGGAGTGCAGGGGCCATCTCAGGAGGCCCGAGAGATGACGCAACTGTGAGCAACTCTCCAGGCTCTGGCTCCGGAGCCGGGGCTGGGACCCTGGGGTCCCCTTCCGCCCACACCTTGACTGAGGCCTTGGCAAAAGTGCGGGGACGGACGGAAGTGGAAATGGGGATGAAAGGGGGCATCGTGAAAAGAAGAAACTAGTATAGAGAAACAGGAAGCAGGAAGGAAAGGAAGTGGCAGACAGGAGCCCAGGAGCCCGAGAGGAGCCGAGGGGGGGAAAGGCCGATGGCGGGCGTGGCCGGGAGGGAGTGGGCCCGGGGCTGCTGGTGACAGATGGGTGGACACAAAGAGGAGACAGATGGATGGGGGAGGGAGGAGGGAGGCTGGAGGGGCAGTGGTTGGAGGCCTTAATGAGATTGGAGCTGGGCTCGGGGCTGAGGAGAGGTGAGTGGAGAGGAAAGAAGAAAGGCCAGGCCGCCTCAGGAGACAAAGGCGACAAGGCCTGGGGGCCAGGGCGGGAGAGGGCTCTGGCGGGGCCGCTT